AAATAATAATTCAAAATTAATGTTTTTTTCTAAACTACCTTCAGTCAAAACCAATGTTTATATGTATATATATATATATATATATATATGATGTGTATTTTATACATACATGGATGCATGTGTATTTCTAAACAAATAAAATGTATAATTACTAGTCAAAGAAACAAGTTTTAACTGACGAAATATCTTAGATTTAGTAATGTTCCAATAATTATGAAAATAGAAAAGGATAGAATTTAATTAACTACAATATTATGAGCATATATTGTTAATAATAATCACATGTAAAAATAATCGCATATTAAGACATTAAACTTGTTTAGTAGGCATAATTAATTAATTGTACCAAAGAAAGAGTATAATTAAAAACAACAAATATCTTGGAAACGTAACTTCACCACGTATGCTAGAATTTTCCAAGATCATCTTTTTCTATAGATTCAACAGGTAATTTATTTATTGTCAACCAAACAAATAAACAAATGCCAACAAAAATTTACATATTCTTTTTCAAAATCATAGTCATTATTTTGTTCAAATGTTGGCCTTCAATTCAAAGTAGCAGGTTGAGATTGGCACCATTAATACTTAGTAAAATCCTACAGATGACTACGTAAATAAAAATCTTATCAAATGAAAATGAGTACAAAATTTAAATAAATAAACGAACGTGTTGACGACTGAGGAGGATGTTGTAGCTTAACGGCAATCTTTTTTTTTTTTTTAAGTTATATTTATAATGAAATAGTACATTCACTCATAATCAAATATTACAGTCGTATAATCAACTATTACATCATTAAATAATCAACTAATATAATTTTATCACTTTCATTGAGATGATTTGAATGATGTGTTTATTTTTGTTAGTTCATATGATATTGAACTATACAATAAGAAGAATCCTTGTTTAGGATTTTTAAAAAATTAAATCAAAATTTAAGCATTTGAATCTCAAATTTAATTTAGGGTATGATTTTTTTTAATTCGTTTTATGAGTTAAAAGTGAAATTTGAACTTGAAATTTTCAGTATTGGAGCTGATTCCAATTTTATTGATCTAACAATTCATAGGTATCTTGATCTTTGGGTGATAATCTCTTAGAACGATTTTATTTTTGTTCTCGATTAATAAGAGGAAAATGGGGATTTGGAGAAAAAATAAAAGGAAAATGAAGATCAGGCACATTGATCACATTGCAGCCACCTAAAACTATAAAAATTCTTGACAATTTTGAAATTTAACAAATGAAAATTATGAGAGATTGACACCTAAATATCGGGGGCAGACTCTCCCAGACTGAGACTATCATGTGTGGAAAAGTCATTCCTATCATCAACAGGACAAACAAGTGAAGGCATGTAGTGGTTAATTAACTTATCTGGACCTATATTGAATTTCCACACAAATTTTTTCAAAAGATTCAAACACGTGCATCCTTAATTTGTCTTACACAGACCATTCAAAAGAAGGCAGCTTCTAATTTCTAATTGGATGACGACCGCTGCAGAAGATCAATTAACACAGTCAATTTTGGATTGTGACCGTCATCTCTCTCTCTCTCTCTCTCTCTCTCTTTGTATTTGGTCAATGCAGGAAATTCATATTTTCAAAGCCCGGAATTTTTTTAACCCATCCTCGAGGCATGTAAACTGGAGTTAGACAGAATAATCAGAAAGCAAAAGATAATTTAATTTAGAGTGAAAGTGAATGGCTACTTTTTTTTATATCGCCGATGGAGATTTTAAACACTAAAAATCGTAATTTAAAATTTTATCGTATATTTATTTATTTATTTTAAATTTTGATAAATATATTATATCATAATAAGACACAATAATCTTTTAATCACGCTTGTTGAATATTGGATAATTTTCCTAAAAGTGTATAGCTATTTTTTTTTATAAAATTATCCTCAAAATAAAATAAAGATAACGTTGTCAAAAAATTATTAGGAATTTTTGGCTGCGTAATTTTTTATATATATATACTATATGCACGACATTGAAGAAAATTTGGCAGCGGATATTCTGTTTCCAAGTCGTGAAAATTAATTCTTCTATCAAATCTTCATTCAATGTCTCAAGAATGACTGAATTAGGCCAAAAAGAAAGGCAAACTTGATGGCCAAGTAACTTGTCAAACAGGGTGTGTTTTTCCAATAAATAAACGAGTTATATTACGTAAAGCTGGTTATTTTCCATTTTCTTCACATTCCCCTTTTTTTTCGTCTCGCTCCTCCTTTATCCATTTTTCCGTAACTTGACTTTACCAAACAATCAAGAAATTTGACTAATTGGAGCAAATTTGACTCAAAATTCGAATGTTACAACTAATTCGAGACTAGTCAAAAATCGATCAATTTGATCAATTCAAATATTCAAAAATTGGAATAGTTGGATAAAAAGAAAAGAAATTGTTTTTCAAAAAAAAAAAAAGAGAAGTAAAAATAGTTGGAGACTAAAAGAAAGAGACGAAAAGAAGTAGGAGATCTAACATTCACGCTACTCAATTTTAATAAAATGTTTGGTTGGTGAGAATAGTTATTCCGTGCAAGTTCAATTTCCGAAGGAATAGGGTAACTAATCTAGCTTATTGTCCAATTAATACATTGTTAATAGAATTTTTGAATTTTAGGAACAAGTTTAAATCAAGATTGATTGGTATTCATTTAAGATATATTTTTTTAAAAAAAATCAATTTTATGAACGAATTTTGGTCAACATTGATGAGTGATTATTTAAGAAATACTATTTTAAAAAATAATTATTTAATTATTAAATAAACATTTGATAATAACATGTCATTTGTAAAATTAAAAAAAAAAAAAAACTTCGCGACAGATATATAAAATAATAGTAATCCATTCAAATTTCAACATTTGGTACCCCATGGGCCTCAAAATGATTATTCTAGCTAGGCCTAAGTCCAAAACTTTATTTAGGCAAAAAGAAAGAGCAGTTACAAGAGTTTAGCCAAGAAGAAAATCAGTCTTCATTGCACCATTCATGCAGTAATAAATTCATCCTTATTTTAATCAAGGAACGAAGGAGAATAATATTATTTTTGGTGCCACCAACCATTCGTCTAGTAGGCCAACTTTGATCCCTAGCAGTTCCAAAATAAGTGTGTTTACCAGATTTAATCACTCTAAAGTCTAATGGAAAATAAGTGCATGGTGAGTGACGACTTAAAATTGGTTTTATTGGTTTTACAAAATCAGTCATAACAAATACACTTTTATTAAAGGGAAATTCGTATTTATTATTATTATTATTATTATTATAAGGGAAAAAATTTTGAATTTAATTCTTTGAATAAAGAACACATGTACTTACTATCAAGTTAAATTAGTGTTTGATACATCAAATTGACATTTTTCAATATTTTCTCTTCATAATTCTTAATATATCTATTAACCGATCAAAAGTTATTAATAATATAATTAATCACTCTGTGTTTTATACAAACGAGAAAAATCAAGAAGGAAGATGATTCAATTTCTGAATTTTAATTTATTCTTCTTAAGGAAGGATACTAATCAATATGTTAAGAATTTGTTAACTAATAATTTTATTTACTTTATTAAGAACTTCATTATAACAGCTAATTAATTACAATTTATTGGAATTATGAAGTCTTAAAAATACTTTAAAATCCAATAAATTTCTTATGAACTAAAAAAGAAATTGTTCCTAGGGAGCAAGCTGCCATAAACATTTATTCCAATCGTCTGTATCCTTTTTATTTTCGTCCTAGTCCATGAAACACATGGCATAATTTTTCAAACCCTATTGTAACATGTGATTCTTCATTGTCCCCATCTTAGGCTCAACATTTCACGGTCTATAATTTTGAGAACTTTGCCACATATCCTTATCTTTTAATTTGGTAATTTATTCAAAATTTACAACTTTCAAAGACCAATATAATTTAAAAAAAAATTTAAACTTTCAATGTGCCAACAGCATTTGGAACTTTCAAACTATCAACCGTTCTTAACTGCAAGTCTCCAACAACAATCAACAAGAGCTCTTCCCATCGACTTCATCATAATTATCACTAGGTTTACTCTCTTTTACTCTTTTTCTCGCACTAATCAATAGAAAAAACTCGGAATGCAAACGCCCAAGACTCCTTCCGCTCCTACTCAAGTGATCTTCTTTTATAGATTGAGAGATCCTTCATGCTCCAAGATAGCCCATCTACAAAAACCTCTAACAAGGTGCAGGTGTATCCATTTAGATCGTTATTGTCTTTTCTTCTTTCGTATTCAACTGCAACATTCACTTTCTTTTTCGAAAAAAAAAATCACACTTAATAGTAAAAAATAGAAGGAAAGGAATAAACTAATTGTTTGGCCTTAAGAATTACTATCAACGCAACATGGAAATTACAAATGAAGCAAGCTAATAGTTATAAGAGTAAGTAGAACTTTCACATTAACTTGGCAATGGCATTTATATAAGAACATTGACGATCTTTATTTATTTTTTAGTTTTTAGATTTTGTTAACATGGTGTTCTAGCATTTTTTTTTAAGGTTCTTGTATATATTGAGTAATATCTTCACCTGATGCATTAAAAATCATGAAATTAATTATCAATTATTATATTTAATGCGAGAATACTGTTATAAATTGTAAATAAAAAATATTAATGTCATGAACAAACCTTTTTAAGATATAAAGTTTTATAAATAGGAGAGAAAAGCTGCATATTAAACATCTGAAAAGACTCATGCCAACCGAAAAACACATAACTCAAATAACAACCCCATTAAAAACCAAAAAAAAAAAAAAAAATGCATGCTTGAAGGACTAAAGTCAGAAAGAGATGATACAATACAAGATTGACCAAATCTCAAGAAAAGTAAAATAACATTTACTAGACACATGCAAACAATTACTAAAACACTAGGAAATTAAGGTATAGCCTCTAGCACTAAACCTGGAAAGCACTAAACCTGGGAAGGCTTGCCCAAGCAGAACATATGCAAATTCTATAGTTATTAGTTACCCTTCTTATTAATACAATTTTTTTTTTCATTCTTCAATCCAATTGGAATTGGATCAATCAACAAGGAAGTGATGCTAGTTTTTGCTGCTTCCCCAACACGTGTGTACGCATCTTCATCCTTATAAAGGAGATCAATTACCCTTGTAAGATTGAGAATACGATTAAGAGCTTGCTGTGGCACTGCTGTTGGTTTCAAGAACTCTTCATTTATATCCTTCCAAGCATCCTTAATTTGTTTGTTTAACTCCTCGTATGCCTCTTGGTCTGATACCCCATATTGTTTCATGTAGCATTCTACGGAAGAGACAACATGTTCTCTCTCTTGCTCAAACTACACGCACAGAATTTTCTAATTAATATAATAACAAGGAAAATTTTGTGCTAATCTTTTACAAAATGAAATTTTTCCATGGTTTGATAAATCTTTTTATTTTGACAACAAACCATTAAAAATTTTAATAAGTTTTTCTATTGGTTTTGGTAACCAAATTCGGTATAGCAATAGCTCTGTAAGGCAAATAATGATCATGTACCTTGTGGCTAACAATATCATCCATCAGCCTACAAACTATTGTTGAAGCTCTAAGAATCTTTGGGTTATTAAATGCCCAAATAAAGGTCTCTCTTGTTATTGTATCTTCCATGCCAACAAAAGATGTAATTGTAAGCATATGATAAGCACAAGAAACTAAGGCAAGAGACATATACTTCTCCAGCGTTGGTATGTAATTTTCATGGAGCCAATCAGCCTCATCATAGTAGGCTTGACATTGTTTTTTCATCTAGTGAACATAAAAATTAACAAAAATCAGCTAATTAACATATGATAAAACTAATTATATGTTTGATGATGATTTGCAAAGTATAATATTCAAGAAAAATATAGATGATAGGAGGGTTTTGTTGACAACATACTGCTTCTTTTGCAAGTTGGACCCGGTATGATTTTCCTTGCTCGGTCATCAAATCTTCCATTTCTTTATAAACATTTAAGAGCTCACTATAGCACAGTTTCATGTAGTTCGGAAGTTTATCTATGCAGTTGATATCCCACCTATAAGTCATTCAATTTAAATGGTTAAGTGTCTATATAATTCAGTCAAATTTTACTTCCAATAATTTGAAATAAAGGTGGATGTAATAACCTATGAATTGCTTTCGTAAAAATTTCAAGTTCTTCATGTGTGCCATATGCATCATATATATCATCCAAAATTGATGTCATGGCGATTACTTTTGTCATGAACATTCTAGCAAGGGAGTAATGGGGTTCAAAGTACACTCCCAATATCCACAAGTAACATTCCACCAATCTATCACGTATAAAAGGAAAATTGTTTGCAACATCTAAGCCTTTCCACCACCTGAAATAAGATATATAATTAGCAAAACTATAGCCTAAAATCAATCGTGGCATGCATCCTTAAAATCACTCGCTCGAGAAGGGGTTAAATCCAAGTCCGGTTAAAAACTACATATCTCATTTACCTCAAATATATTGGTAAATATGGAGCAATTACCTATATATCTCACTTATCTCCTTCCTGTGCAAATATTGTACCATGTTGAAGTCTAACTTTGCAAATTTCATTAAACTTTCATCTTCGGTACCGTATCCTTCATATATGGAAATGTAGCTCCTAGCAACCAACCTTGGCAAGCTCTTGCGGAGGGGTCGCTTTAGAGAATTAGCAACTTGTGTCGAGAGAGGATAGTCTACCATAGTTTCAGCCAATTTTAGATGAGAGGTGGTAAAAGCCAGAGCTTCTTCAAGTATATTTTCTCCATGCACCCGAAGGTGTGCAGCTTCATACAATTCTAACAAGCCTTTCACATCACTAATTAAGGATTGCTTGAAGTTTCCTTTCTCATCTTTGAACTTGTTGAATGACTCTACTCAATCACCGAAAATATTTGAAACAATAAGTAAGAAATTATAATTCAGGTTTTCAGAGACATTGGTGAAATTAATGAAGATTAGATTTGGATACCGTAATGAACATTGAAGCCATGCTCTCTTAGCAATCGAAATCGAACAGATGAAGTGTAAAGATCATCAACACTCTCAAGATCATGATTGCAATATTCATGATATATACTTTGCAAGGCATCTTCTATCTCCTTCCCAAAATGGTAAGCCACACCTAAGCGCTGGATTGCATCAATTAAGTGCAATTTTTGGGATGATTTATCCACCAACATTCTCCTCACTTCTTCCTTCAATTCTTCATATTGTACTTGTGTTGTAGCAACCATATCCTGTTTAAGTGTGAAATGCATTCAATCAATTTTAAAAACTTAACACCTCCATAAAATCTGGAGATACTTGTGATGTATTAGTAGGAAAAATAATTCGTTAAAATTTAAAACTATTGTTGTTAAGATTCCAAACCTATTAAAAATAGTTAGGGACACTAAAAATCAGTACTCATCTTATAAATATGCAAAGGTAGTAGATTACGCAGTTAACAACAAGCTTTAGCACTCGAATTGGGTTTCTTTTTTTAGGAGGAATTTGTTTCAATGGGAGGTGGAGATGTTACAAGAACTGGGCGTAAAATGTGATGAAGTTTACTTAGTACAAGAGAAAAGAGACAAGATAATGTGGGATTAAGAAAATTAAGGAAAATTCTCCGTTAAAAAACTCCACTATCAATGTATTTAATAATTTCTTAAAAAAAATCATCATTAATGAATGTTTTCTCCTGCTCTCCTGTTAAGTTTGAGTGTAGTAACAGTGGGCAATTAAAATACCTCCAAAGTTTCAGTGTTTTCTATGGTTGGTAGTGTTGGATAGAATTCCTACCATTTGGTTGGCTAGAAATGAAATGATATTTGATCACAAAACCTTTATTATTGATGAACTGATGTTCTTGACAAAGTTTAAAGGCCACTGAAGAGAAAGTTCAACATGGATGGCTCAGCAAACGATAATTAAAAGCATTATCCGTAATATATTTATTCCCACTAAAATTAGAGATAACATAAATAATAAAGAAATTTCCACATCCACTCACAGTGAAGTTTTAAAATTTCAAATTAATGTAATAACACATATCTCTTAAGGTATAGTAAAAAATAAAAAAATAAAAAAAGAAGTGAAATATATAAAAAAATTTTATCCTCACTTGTAAAATTAAAAAAATTTACTGTTAGTATATAAAAAGAACTCTAAATAATAAGAAAAGAAAGAGGAAGCAGTAGAAATTAGAAAGAAACTCAAAAATTTTGCCAACAGTATGACAATTAGTCAATTTATTTGATGATATATATTTGGAAAATTAGAAGGCTGTAAAGATTAATCTGATCTTACACAAAAATGTACACAGAAAGAGGTTTTCATACATACCATTTCAGGACGGGAGAGGAAAATGTCCCCCCAAAAGTGAGGCTTAAAATTAGCCAAATGACGCTTTTCGTTGGACATGGTATCATCAAGATCAGTTGAAACTGGATTTGCAGAAATTTGAGAAGACATTTCTTCAGGAGATTTGGTTTATAACCTTTTGTATTGCTAGCTGTTACAACTTTTGTGTGATCCAAATGCTTTTTAGCCGTATGTATTTATAGACACTCAATCAATGGTTTACAGTCCAATCGGCATAGCATCACTGAGTGGTGTGGGTGTCCATCATTAGAAAGCAAAAAATTTAGAAGAGAATTTTTTTTTTATTCTTCTAAAATTTTTTTTGGACATCCTTAAAATTGGAAAACAAGAAAATTTAGAAGAAAATTTCTTTTGGACATCCCCAAAATTTTCTGCTAAGTACTCTTTTCATTAATTATAAAATTAATAAATTCATTAGTGGTGTTTTATTTCATTGATTTTAAGTTGAATTAGTTATAAACAGATCTAATAATTTATGTATTCGAATTATATATAATACTAATAATTTATATATTCGTATCATATTTTATATAAAAATTATATATTAGAATTTAGGTAGGTATAAAAACATTAAATATATTTTTTTATTTTGTTAAACTCATTATGAATTTTTTTAAAAATTTTAAATTATATAATATTCATCTCTTTTATTAATATTATTTTTATATCATGTTGTTTATTGTATTTTAAATTATTAAAACTACTCATAAATAAACTCTCTGTTGATAACATTAAGCCTACAAGTGAAAAAGAGTTCAATGAAGCTCGCTTGTTTTATTGATAACATGGGGCCCACACGTGGAAAAGGAGTGCTTCTTAGCTTTTCTTATGGGTTATAACTCTTTTCATAAACGGCAATTGATGTTTGCATAGTTGGTATAACATTGAAACATAGAATTGCATTTGAAAGTTACGTATTTAAATGAATTTATATATTTAATATCTTCTTCAACCATATAACCATAAAGTAAGAAAATTTAAGGACAGATTAAAATTAAAAAAAAAAAACTCTTGACATTTATTGTGGTTTTATATTTAAATTGGGTTTTTTGAATGACTAATAAAATCACTGTTAAACAATTAACAAAATGTTACATCTACTTCCATCCTTGGACCCATAGAATGAGAAATATCAAGAATCAAAAGTTGACAATTTATGCACGATAAACATGCCTCAAAGGTCTTAATAATTTATTCAAGGGATTCTCATTCTAATAATTGAGTGAACGGGATATGGGTGATCTTGAGTAGATGTGTTAATGTCATGTTGTGGTTTTTCATGTCAATATTTTGTTTTTGCTTGTTAATTTCTTCTTATGATGAGGATCTTTAACTTGCATGAATACTCCTGTTTTCACTAAAATTTCAATTTTAGCGTCTGCTCTATGTATTTTTGGTTGCTGGGATCGGGAATCCTCTTTTGAGAGACTAGTTTGTCCAAGTTCTTCCTTAATAATCTAACAAAATTCACTGGCTTAGAAAAAAAATTTGAGTGAAGAGGATTTATTTCTTTAAAGAGGACAAAAGATTTTACTATAAGAAAAAAAAAATCGAGTCAATGATTAGCAATTATTTATCAGGAAAAAAAATTTTGTTGTATATAGTTATCTAATACACTATTTCACACACTTACGTAATATATAAATTTTCTAAATTTTAATATTTTTCTCTAGATACGTCCATGAACATTTTTGGACAAAATCTCGTAAAAATTAGAGAGATATGTAATAAAAGGACCCCTAAAAAAATTTTAGTACAAACAGATTGATTCAACTCTCAAATTAAATAGTAAAGAAGAGATCTTGATTAATCTTAATCTCCGTCGAAACAAATTTGTTTAATTTTTTATTGAGTTAATTACTTTTTTGTATTTAAATTTTGAATAACATGTACAAATTGATGTCGAAAAAAATAAAATATACAATTTACACTTTGAATTTTCAAATAATATATCATTCTAATTCAAATTTTAATATTATTAATTTAACTCACCCATATGATATCTAATCAATATAATTTTGTTATATGTATATTTTTTTAAATAAAAGTGTTAAATATTTTATAAAAAATTTTATATGGATGTCACATGATAAAAAATATTGATTGTTTCTATACAATTTTTACAGTCTAGGTAAAAAATATAAAAATATTTTTAATTGATATTAAAAAATGATATCGATAATATGTATAATAAATACATAACTTAATAATATTTATCACATACCACATTTAAAAGGAAATATACCTAATAAGGTTGGAGCTTGGATTAACGTGGAATATAATTTGAAAATTTAGAATGCAAATCGTATATTATTTAAAAGTTAAGGGTGCAAAATTATATTTTTTTTTCTTTAGATATCAGTTTAAATATTTTTAAAATTCAAGTATAAAAATGTAATTAACCATTTTCAGGAGACTTAATTTCCTTCAACCAAGTCTCATTTGAACGAAAATGTAATCAATGTTTTTCCTTTATAGCCCGTTGCAAGATGTAATTTTTCTTTCTGAAAAAGATATGGCATAATTCCAGCCACAATAGACAAAAAAGTCGGTCACTCAAGAAATAATAATCATAATAACTACGATGATAGTGAAGATTGCAAATGAATATATTCAATTTGATGGTGGATTTATAATTTTTTTTTATGATATTTATTTATAATATATAAAACATTTATAAACAAAATTTAAAATAATATATTGTTATATTATTACAATTATTCAAGACGAGTTATCATATTAAAAAACCATAATTGCATCAATTTTTAATACTATTAAATACATATTCCTCATATCATTTTTTTAATGATTTAATGGTGTTCAAGTGAAGATGTTCCAAAAAAAATTAAAATGTTTTAAAAAAAATGAACCTTCAAAATTTTTTTATTTTTTAATTTTTAAAAAATCCATGTACATAACTCCAGTAAAACACATGCATCAACATAAAATTTTTTCATGAAAAATCTGGATGGATCTTCAATTATTGGACTGAGTATGAATTTTCTTCCTTGGTCATGATTTCATCCAATATTTTCTTCAAAAACATCCAGTGCCACATAGAACGATTTAGGTTTTTTTTTTTTTTTTGTTTCCTTTTTTTTTGGGAATTTGACCTAATGCAATGCATTGCAACTGATATAATTTTCCACCTGAAAATTCAATTTAAAGGTTTTTGTCTAAAATTCAATTCAATTCAACTAAAGTTGAAGGTTTAATGGATATAAATTAGAAAATTACCATGCTCCTAATCTATACATGGCCATGATTTTGTTCAAGTATTATATTAATTTTCAGTTAAAAGATTATTGACATTAACCATGCATCATGCATATATAGTCATTTTTTGTTCAAATAGTGGTTTTCAGTTAAAAGAATATGATTGACATTAAAACCCTTAATTAATTACGTAGCTTTACCTAGCTACTTATACTTAATCTACAATAAGATATTGCAAAATGAATTAAGACCCGAAAATTTATCTGAAAAAGCTCGAATCCTAATTTACCAAACTTGATTTAACACAAAAGTAAAATGTTCAAAAAAAAATCTTTATAATCTAAAATTTTAATTTTCAATCTAAAATAATTTGATCTTAAGAATTTGAACTTAAATTTGATTTGAAATTAAAAAATATATTAAAACAGTTACATCTTACACAAAATTCAAAATAATTGAAATTAATTCAAATCCAAAATGATTTAAATTCTAATCAACCCAAACCGAAAATAATAAGAATCCCATGTAAACCACATCTTTCCGTTTGCCATCTCTACCTACAATAAAAGTTTACCTAGCTATATATTTCTGTTATCAAATGTTAAAATCAAAGAGAAAAATAGTGGACGGCCTGCCATGTCTTTTCGCATGGACTTTTGGTGCTGGGTCTTCACAGGGTGGGGTCTGGTATGGGTCTCTTCGAATAATGTGAAAGACATGCTGTGCCAGTGTGAAACGGTTCATGGCCTGATTATAAAAGCGTGGTTATCGGTATGCTGCTACATTTTTGGCATTATCGTTGGGTAGAAATAAGTCGGTGAAGAGCATCCCAAGTATTTTAATTTGGTGGGTAATTGCAGCCGAGTTTTTTTGGCGTGAAATCTGTATTTTAGTGTTTACACATATTCAATTATTAAAACTTTGATAATGTTGATGTTCAATTTAAATATTCATATTATTTATTTATTTATTTCTCTTTATTTTTTATTATAAAGTACTTTTAGCTCATTAATTCACATCGGAAAGAAATTTGTGTTTTTCTAAAAGATTTATTAATGAGAATTTAGTTTTTCTAAAACAAATTAATTTAATTACTGTTTTGATTACATTAGTTTACGTTTAGGCATTTTTAGTATTTTTTTAATTATTAAACAGTAAAAAAAAAAAAAAAAAACCAAACTTGCTGCTTGTGTTGGGCTATCAGTTGAAGCTCAGTTTCAATAACTTTTTTTTTTTTATGCTTTTGATTAAGGGTTCATTTATTAGGATAATAAATTTAATTTCAATAATATTAAAAATAACAGTAAAAATACAATCAAATTATGAATTTTAGCATCCACACAAAACCACATATTCTTGGACTTTTTTTCAGAATAATTCTAATTAATAATTAAACTTCCAAATTTCAATCATTAAACAATCGATGTAGTGCTAATACTTGTTGATCATAATTGTAAAAGGTTTAATTGTTTTTAAGTAAAATTTTGATTTTGAATCTTGTAAATAATAAAAATAAATTTGAAAAAATTTATCATTTTATAGAATTCATGCAGCCATAAAATGGCAATCATGTGGCCATAAAATAAATAAGAAAAGGAAAACTCTGGACCGCTAAAAGTAACATTTGCAATCAAATTATTTAAGCTAGATTTTGAATTTTATAAGTAATTAAAATTTTCACATTTTCAATTAAATATAAATATCAATTTTAATGAAATTTATTTTACAAAAAACTTTTATTAAATTTTTTATCACAATTATAATAATTTTTAATATTATTTTTAATCTCATTGAACATATCAAATTTTATCTAAATTCATAGGATAAAATCTCGTTTTTAGTTTTCATTCATTATTATTAAAATTATTATAGTAAATAATACTA